AAATTTTGTGGAGCACATCTAAGATCTTTTCATGGCACATCAGTTGAAAATCACTGCTGTGGGTCAATCCAGCCTTTGAAAATGGTTGGAATCTTCTTCCTCTAAGCCAGACTGAAGGGAAGTTTGTAGCCTCATGTATGGCTTGAAGGGCAATCGCCTAGTCCTGCTCATGCCCAGTCTACATATCTTTTCCAAATACATTTACAGCCATCTGAGTCTGGTAGCTGCTGTGCCTGTGCACACCCAGACTCACACTCGGTGACAAATCACAGTCCAAGGAAATCAGGAACCAGCTTAGCTGCTCACACTGGGGGAAGAGTGAAATGAACCCCTCCCCTGTTCTGGAGACTCATCTCAGCCTCAGCAGGAGGAGTGGGAATGTATAGTCACCTGCTGGGCTGTGTGCTGACAGTGTGCCCTGGCCTGATCCCCGTCTCAGTCAGTGCATCTCTGTCCTAACTGGTACTTTGAATATTGAATATCTTCTTGCTTGTGGGCATAGAGATACTTGAATCTTCCGACACACAGAAACATCAGTGGCACACATGCATGCACAATTACATATTTGTACAGGGGTGCACACACAGATATTTTCCTTATGCTTAAAAGTTACATAAACTTAGGCCAGGTGCAGTGGCTTACACCTGTAATCCCAGCACTCTGGGAGGCCAAGGTAGGTTGATCACCTGAGCTCACGAGTTCAAGACCAGTGTGAGCAAGAGCAAAACCCCATCTCTAAAAATAGCCAGGCATTGTGGCAGACGCCTATCGTCCCTGCTAGTTGGGAGACTGAGGCAAGAGAATCATTGGAGCCCAAGAGTCCGAGGTTGCTGTGAGCCATGAGGCCATGGCACTCTACCAGTAGCGACAATGTGCGACTCTGTCACTAAAAAAAAAAAAAAAGAGTTACACAAACTTGGAAAATAGGCACCCAACTCATCTGAGTGTGCCAGCATATTAGGGAAGCAGCCATCTGCTCCAAGTCTTTCTCTTGGCCTCTGTCTTAGTTTTTATGTCTTTATTTCTTTGGTTGTTAGATATCACAAGTGGCACCAGAAGGGCTTAAAGGAGACAGAGACACAGCCTCAGAAAAATACATATCCCCAAACGCAAGAATACAGTGCAAAGTCATTCTTCCCCAGATTGCAAGGGTGTGCTGAGAAAGGTTCACTTAAAACACCAGACAGCAGTTGGCAAAATTTTTCTATGAAAGGGCAAATAAATATTTTGGGCTTTGTGTGCCACAGTGTCTTTTCACACTGATTCTACTTTGCACTTGTAACACAAAAGTAGCCATAGATAATAACAAACAAACAAACATGGTCATATTCCAATAGAATTTTATTTACAAAAAAAGCAGCAGGCCAGATCTGGCCCATGGACTTTAGTTTACAGATCCCTGCAATGAAGTCTAACATACCCAGAAGCCATCAAGGCTGGTTTCACAGATCCTTCAAAGATGGACAGCGGCTCTGTTATATCTCCTCTGGAAAGGGTAAGAATCAATTGTTTGGATGTGAGGTCAGTTTCGTTCTGATTGTTGTGTGCTGTGCTTTTGGTGTTGGAAGCTAGAGAGGTGTATTTGTCTCTAAATGCTTTCCGTTCTTTCTGTTCCCTTGCTCTCACAGCGTTGGGTGATTTCAGAATAAGACTCTTTCACATTCATCCTTGCCGAAATCCTGCCTTCTTTTCAGGTTTCTTATTTGTATTAGGGTTAGATGTGACATGCACAGCAGAAAGAACACTTGTCTGGATCATAGGACAGCCACCAGCTTGCTGTGTGTCTTTGAGAAAATCACCTAACATCTCTGAGGCTCCTTTTCCTCATCTGTCAAATGAGGGAGTTGGCTAACTGGTCTCTAAAATCCCTTCTAGCAGTAAGTTTGTGATTTTAGGAAAGTTGCAGCCTCAATCCAGGCAACTGTCTGCGGCCATTAATTAGGATGTCACTCCTAATTAATGCTAATGAAACTGCCAGGAGGCCAAGAGACATGGGGCACATGGTCTTCTACAGTTGGCAACCTTCAGAAGGCCTTTACAGCTACAGACAGTGGAGTACCAGCTAACTTCTGAGAATCTGAGACCCTATCTCACTAAAGAGAAAAGAGCAAGAAAAATGACTTCAGCAACTCTTTGTTCCAGGAAAATTACTTTACATTTCTAGCTGCCATTGTGATAACCACAAAAGGCACACAAATATTGTTTGGAACACCAGTTGGAAACAAGACCCTAGGGTGCTACCATGGGAGATGGGGGGCTTTCCCCTCTCCATCAGCGTCTCCTTTATGGGCTCTTCTGGCCATATAAAAGTACTCCTCAAAGCTCACCAAATAAATACACAAATAGGTCAGATGGAAATGGAGGCTTTAAGGAGTTAAAAAAAATAAATCAGAAACTTCCAGCTATGTCAAATGAAAGACGTCTTCTCTGTAAGCAGGGATGAGGGAGGTCAGGGAAGGTTGGGGGACCCAGACTTTGGCTGAGGCAAGGGCTGGAGGTGGCTGGCAGCTCAGAGGAGAGTTTGTACACCATCCCCACCCTCAGGCTCACTCTTCAGCTCACTGCCCAGTGAGGCTGTGGATGCAGCAGGGGGCTGGATCCCTCTCCCTCCATCCTGGACACAGGCTCCAGGGCAGTGAGGCAGTGAAGAAGCCCGCATCTTGGCCTCCAGAATAGGCGCTTATTGTCTGACTCTGCTAAAGCTGTCTCATTTGTAGCCTAAATAATTCACTCACCCATCTCTCAAGGAGCATTAGGAGAAAAACAAAACCCAACCCAGCCCTCAGGCTCAGGTTCCCAGGGCATAAGGTGGGAGGCTGGGAGGCAGTCCTGGAGCTGCAGAGCTGGCCTGCCATCAAAGGTTTGCCAGCCTGGTGAAAAAGACCCAAAGTCTGTTTTTTACCCAGCCCTCTAGCTAAGAATGGTTTTTACATTCTTTAAAGATTTTCAAACAAAATGAAACAAACCAAGCAAACATCAACAACAAAAACAAGGAATATGTAACAGAGACTGTACGTGGCATGCAAAGTCTAAAGTATTTTCTATCTAGCCCTTTCCAAAAAAAGTTTGCCAAGCCTTTTATCTGTCCCCTAGCCTCAGGGAGGTAATGACAACCTTTAACTACCTCCTTGGCTAACCCCCATGACCTCCACTGTCTGCAGAGATTCAACGTTGTCAGAGTTCTGATAGTCTAAAGAGAAGCTGGTAACACTGCTTACTCAATTGCCAAAATCAAAACAAAAACAAGAAAATAAACTGGACTGGAATGAGGAAGAGGAAACTTCAAATAGTCTTGGTTCTACTACATGGGGAGGGAGGGAGGAACTGAGACAGCCCCAGACCCTCCGTCATCTGATTCTCCATCTCTGAGGGTCAGAATTCAACATTGTCCAGGTTGGTCTCTACCGAAACCCCTCTCGCTAAGGCCCTGGTGATCCCATTCCCAGCTGCCACAAAGGCTGCAATTTCCTTACTGATGAGGTATCTAAGTAGCCCATGCTTCCACGTTTCTGAAGCCTGTGTGTCATCCCCAAGTCATCTTGGATGCCATTCTGACTGTGCTGACCTTCAATCCCTCAGTCCTAAATAGAGAATATAGCCTGCTACTTCTCCTGCCTAGCAGCCTTTGAAGGGATAGGACTCTGACCAGCCATCCAGACTTCCTTCTGGAACCAGAGCTTCTGAGAGTTATAGCCTAAAGACCTTAAAAGAGGGGGTCGGAGTGGACAATGGAGATGCCAGCTCAGAGTGTCCCAGATGCAACTGGGCTGAGCAACCTCTGGACTGTCAGAGTACCTGTGTGGGACTTGGGGAATTGAGGGCAGAATGGGGACCAAATAGCCTCACAACCCGGTGTGTGAATATTCTGGATGATTTCAGACAAAAGAAAAATGACTATGGTGGCTCAACACCTGTACACAGTGGTTACAGTGCCAGCCACATACACGGAGGGATCCGGGTTCAAACCCAGCTCAGGTCAGCTAAACAACAATGACAACTACAACAAAAAATAGCAGGGCATTGTGGTGGGCGCCTGTAGTCCCAGCTACCTGGGAGGTTGAGGCAAGAGAATTGCTTAAGCCCAAGAGTGTAAGGTTGCTGTGAGCTGTGACTTCATGATACTCTACCAAGGGGGACATAGTGAGACTCTGTCTCAAAAAAGAAAAAAAGAAAGAGAGAGAGAGCGGCACCTGTGGCTCAAAGGAGTAGGCGCCAGCCCCATATGTCAGAGGTGGTGGGTTCAAACCCAGCTCCCAGCCAAAAAAAAGAAAGAAAGAAAGAAAGAAAGATGACCATGGTAAAAGTTCCTGCCCTACCATCTCCCAAGGAAAATGTCGCTGCTGTCCAGCCAGTACTTTGCAGGTTCCATAACTTAAGACAAAATCAACCTAAAAGGCCCAGGCTGGAATCCCAACATGCAGTGGTGGAAGGTCACCAGTCTTAGAGGTTTGGGAGCCCAGGCTATGAGATGTTGGGTGAATCATACCCTCTCTCTAAGACTCAGTTTTTTCATCTGCTAAAAACAAGCAAACAATCGCCCTTGGATGGGGGCGATTTTAAGGTCCTGTCCATCCCATACCCAATGACTAGCCTGAACCAGCCCATGCCTCTGCAGAAGCTCAGCTGGGAAATTGGCCTCATTTTAGCTTTCCTTCCCTAAGTCAATGCAATCCCACTCCAATGGGATACTACAGTTCTGGGATACGGAGAGAGTGTTTTCCTTCAACATGTTAGCAGCTTGCTGGGGATTCAGGACTGATGTGAAAGAGAGGTGGTGGGTGGTGAACGTGACCTCTTGTCGTTGTGCTCTGTGGCCCAGAAGCGGTCTGATACACATTAATAAAAATTATCTCGATTGTCTGCCGTCAACTTCCCAACTTGACTGGACATTCCTTAAGGGCAGGAGTTTTGTCTTGACCTTTTTCTGTGTCCCCGGAAGAGCTCAGGTCAATCCTAGGTATGTGGCTAAAGACCCATCCGTATTTGCCAAGCTGCTTCATTGAAAAGCTCCTGGAAAGACTGTTGGTGCCCTGGCATGGGACATGTGTCCAGGTAGGCGAATCCTCAAATTTGCTGGCTAACAACATGACACCGTTCTTCAGTCCATGGCTCACTCAAGCCTGTCCTTCCCAGGCTGTGACCCCCAAAAGCTATCGTGTGACCTAGAGAGCAAGTGATGAGGGAAGGTTAGAGAAGGGAATGCCTATTCCCATCCTAGCATGCAGAGACTCCCCAGAATATACAGATCCCTTAGAGGTCATTGCTGCTGACCCCTTCCCCCAAAGCAGTCCAGAGTAGGAAAGCATGGCCCGGTGATCCAGGCACACATAAACCAGACCATCTTCACCACGGGCTGCTTCAGAGTAGCTACCAAATTGCAAATACAGTAATCAGCATTACAGGCTGCAGACCCAAACCCATAACATGATGACAACGTCACAATCTCTGTGGTGGGTCTCACTCTCTTTTAGTCTTAAATATACTCAGAATGGCTGTCTCCCTTCCCTACCTTACATCCAGTCAAACTTTTTCTTGTTGTAATTCCTTTTGTTCTGTGCTCTATGAAAATGGTTGCTCTCTTTACAACTCTGAAGGTTACCTTTCCTCTTTATTTTTGTTTGCTGTGTATGGTGGCAGGATGGGAAAGCAGAAGGCAGAGCTATGGCCTGCCCCATCGTGTCATCCTTCCATACACATAGTGATGACAGAGTGATGCAGCTGATTAGCCATGGCACACATGGAACTGCTAACGAGTTTGATAAAATTTTAATTAACTCGTGTTCTGTGGTGTAAGCAGCAAACCATGAAAATAATAATGCTCTTGGGTGCTGTCACAGCAGACAGAGCAACTGGACATACAGAAATTGGTATGAACTGTAGGGAGTTAACAGCAGGAACGGGATGGGCTAGAGGGACAGTCAGAGGCACAGGTGGGTGGGCGGAGTGGTTACTGTACCCAGAATTCAGATGGAAATAGAGACTCCTTGAATTATCTAGATAATTTTCTCAGTTCTCCATTTTGTTTTAATAGACCTGAAGTTTTCTGGAGGCAAACTCACTCCAGGCAAAGAGGAGGAAACTACAGCATATGGAACATCAAGAATTTACCCAGGACACACTGGTTTTCAAATGCCAGCCCCTAATTCCTATCCCCAGTCAGAAGAAATACAGGAGGATCATGTGGGGTGTATTCTCATGGTTCACAATCTCACCTTGGGGTACTGACATCCTAGAACCCCCTCCTCCGCCCACCGGGCTCCCTTTTCAACCCCAGGTGATACGCCAGGCATATGGTGAAGGGGCAAGAGACGGGCGGGTTGAAGTGTCCACCCAGGATACCTTGGTGGTTTTGACTTTGTGTCCGCTGCTGCAGCTCCATCCTGATAGGTCTGGAAGCACCTTACACTCCTCCCCTGGCAGACAGGGCTCCATCTGGCACCACCACCTCTGCAGGACGATGGAGGCTGTGGGAACAGGAGGCAGGAGCATGGCTCTAAACACTCAAGAGGGGGTCTGCCAGTGAGGTGCATGTTCCCACACACCTTGGCTTTGAGCCCTATGCCTCCTTCATCTTTCCCCCACTCCAGGCTGCCCAGAGAAGTAGTACTCAGGCTAAGGCCTGAGAACTTAACTCTATCAACTTCAATCCCATTGGTCCTGCATCTCTCCAAAGAGAGTGAGGGGTGCAGGTGGGCGAAGCTGTCTCTAAGGCAACCATGTCACTAGCATAGAGGCGCCATCTTCAACATACCCCTTAGTGCGCATGAGCAAGTGTGCGCGCCATTTGAAGGGACCGCAAGCCAGGAGTGTACAGCGGTCGTCTACTGGACGCCAAATGAGTGTGAGGGGAGAGTGGGAAAGCGGGTGGGCGTGAAGGAACACACATGCCCCTGCAAGGAGAGAGTGCAACCGTGGCTGAGGATGAGACGAAGGCGTGTGGAAGAGGCCAGGGGAAGGAGTAGGGGTGACGAAGCCTGTGTCTGCAGGAGAGTAAGGCAAGAGTAGTCCGACGGTGCGGAGAACCCGCAGATACGCCAGGCATGACCAGCTGTCATTAACTATGACGTGCGGATGGCCACACTTCTCCCTGCAGAGGGGGCCCTGTCATTCAAGACTGTGATCACGAATGCCCTGAGATGGGTATGAAGTTTATCCCCAGCAGATGGCGTGGCCTGAACGGACTTCCTTACTGCTTTGCTCAGGGCCTCCCAGGCCTCCCTGCCTGGGTCCTGGCCTCTCACTCACCGTCTACGCAGGAGGGCTTTGCCCGCGTGGTGCCAGCCACCTGGCCAGAAAAACAGGAGCATTTGACAGTCTGGGAGCGCTCCTCGATGCGGTTCCGGTTGCAGCAGCGGTGAGCAGCAATCACCTCGCAGGTGCCCTGCTGCACGAGCACTGAGGGCCCGGAGCACAGGATCAGGCACAGGGAGGGCCCCCAGGCTGCTGCCCCCACCCACCGGGCTTGTCCTCGGGCCTCTCCTCCCTGCTCAGGGCAAGAGATTTCCAGCGCAGGGAGGAGCGAGGGAGCAGGAGAAGCCTCCAGCTGCTTCCTATAGCTGCTGTCCTTCCTTCCTCTCCTGTGAGGCCACACTTATCACACTTTGGCTGAGCCTGGCCTTTCTGGGGAAGAAAGATGGAGTCCCACACCAGCCCCCGCCTCTCCAGCTTCCTCTGGGTGAGGGCAAGGGCCCCAGGGCTTACAATGCGTGGGGAGGATCATCCGCTTACACAGGCTTTAGTCATCCCAGAAGGAAAACCACAGAATTAGGCCAGGAGACTAGACCCAATCCTCCACTGAGAGCCTCTCCCTCTGCAGAACACCTTCCAGTCTGGAAGGGAAGGTGAGCAACGGGCCTGCCCAGGCCTTCTCTGGGCTGGGACAGCACAGGGGGGCACAGTTTCCTGGGTGAAGAACAGAATAGGAGCCAGAATCCCTACCTAGGAGAGCTATCTGCTGTGAGACAGGGTAGAGTGGCATCCAGCTCCTCAGGTGTGCTGGGAACCCCCCTCCCTGCACCCCATCACCTTCCCCAAACCTGTGGCAGTTGGAGGCTGCGAGGCAGCTGTGGCCAAGCAGGTCCACAGCCAGGCCAGGCACAGTGCCAGCAGCCAGCCGCCTGTGCTCCAGTTCAGCAGGGCCCTCTCTCTCATCCTGTGGAGAAAAGCACAAGTCCTGCTCAGCTGCAGGCAGGAACTCCCCCATGCTCCCCCTTAAGTACCTTCTTTGGGCCATGAGTTCTAGGAAGCACAGGTGTGGGTGGGACACACACCTTGTTCCTGGGCAGCTTTCAGCCTGGCTCAGGGTCACTGTAGGTGGTGATGAGAGCAACAGGGGGAAGAGGGAACAGGGAGAGCCTGGGAGGAGACAGGACTTAAGAGAGGACTTGAAGGACAAACTATGGCCCCATGGAAAGCTATGACATGAGAGGGACAATCATGTCAACTCCCAATTTTTCTGCACTTTTTTTTTTGAGAGACAGTCTTACTCTGTTACCCTGAGTAGAATGCCATGGCATCATCATAGCTCTTGGGCTAGCAACCTCATAGCAACCTCAAACTCTTGGGCTCAAGTGATCCTCCTGCCTCAGCCTCCCAAGTAGCTAGGACTACAGATGCCTGCCACAGCACCTGGCTAGTTTTTCTATTTTTGGTAGAGATGGGGGGGGGGGTCTCACTCTTGCTCAGGCTGGTCTTGAACTCCTGAGCTCCAGCAATCCACCTGCCTTGGCCTTCCAGAGTTCTAAGATTAACAGACATGAGCCACTGTGCCCAGCCTTTTGAGCACTTTTTTTTTTTGCAGTTTTTGGCCGGGCTGGGTTTGAACCCTCCACCTCCAGCATATGGGGCTGGAGCCTTACTTTTTTGAGCCACAGGCGCCATCCCCTTTTGAGCACTTTTTAACACAAGGACTTGGCATGTGTGCTCTTGAATCCTTAATGACTGTCCTACAAAGTGGGATTATTAGTACCTACTTCACAGATGAGCAAATCAAAGGTCTAAAACCCTAAACAACTCTGAGTAAAATAGTGGCTAACTCCACAGTAGATAGTCTATAAAAACGCAATACCATACAGGTAGCTATATTTTAAAAATGGGAAAATGCTTTACGGAGTGGTGTATGCATGCATTGATGTTTAATGATTATCCACTGTGAAGGAAAAAGCAAAGTATAGAATAGGTTGTATAAAATGTGTAAAAGGGAGAGATTATCTATGCTGCTCAAATCTCTATAAACTAGCTCTGGAAAATGAATTTATAAAACTAATGGTATTGTTTGCCACCAAGAAGAGAAACTGGTTGTCTGAGAGATGGAGGGAGTAGGGAGACTTATTTTTCTCCTGATTTCTTTTTTGCTTTTTGAGTTTCCAACCATGGGAATGTAATAGCAATTCAATTTAAACAAAATTTAAATTTAAAAAAAAAAGAAATAAAGCTGAGGCTGATAGAAGTCAAGGGATTTGACCAAGGCCAGGCAGCAGGTGGATGGAGGAGTCCAGAGCACAGAAGCCTGCCCTACACTGCCTCTATCGCCCCTGTTCTTCCCCTTTCCTCTTCCATGCTTAATAGTTTGGGCCTCCCAAGTTTATCCCAGAGGGTAGGCTAGAAATGGAAGGAATCCAAGAGAAGAAAGCACAGAGTAGCTGGGAGCAGCCCCAGAAGGCAGCAGGGTTGCAGGCTCAGGGTAGGCCTGAACCACTGCCTCTGTGCTCAGCTAGCCCCTTGGGGCACTCCCAGACTCCCACAAGTGCCAGCACAGTTCTGGGAATACCAGAGGCCAAACCCATGCCAGGACCCAGCTGCTCTCTCAGATATAATGCATGTTTCTATCCAGGCCCCTCCACCCCATCTTCCGTTGTCTCCTCACTCACCTTTTTGGGGATCTTTCAGTTTCTGTCTGCTCATCTGCTGGCTTTAGATTCACTCCACCTGGATAAGTGAGAAAGATTCTTGGGGACTTGTAAGAAACAGAGGGAGCCCATGGCCCTGTAGGGGGTGAAGGAGGACCTGGGTGAGGGTAAGGGGCTGGACTGGGCATTGAAGCTGTTCCCAGATACCTGGAGTGGGGAGTCTCTCCCTCTGTCCTGGGAATTTGGAGGGGCCCTTGCAGACTCTGGGAACATGTAGGGTGGTGACCTTGAGGAAAGGTACCTGAATGGTGATGGTGGGGAGGTGCCTAAGAATTGGTGCTGTCCTATCTCTGCAGAATCTGACAGAGGGCCCTGGGGAAGATCCTGGGGCACTGACTCCTCTTTGCCTCCAGCTCCTACTCCCATGGCACTTGCTTCCTGGACTTGCATGGAGGTGGCTCAGCTCTGCCACCCTCACCTGCATTCCCACTCCAGAGGGCTAGGAGGAGGACACTCCAGGTCTCTGTGCCTCAGAGGCCACAGCCCCAAACTGCTTCCACTTCTCTGTGATGACCTCTCCTCCCTCACCCTCCAAAGAGGGCAGAAGTGAAACACAAGATAGTGAGGCCCAGGAAGGACAGACAACCCCAGTCCTGGCTCCCGGGAGTGAGAGACAGAGGGGACTGTGAAGGAAGATGGAGGAAGTGGTGCCAATACCCCCGGGTGTGCTCCGCGGAGTGAGCACTCTCTACTCTTCTGAATGCTCCTCTTTTCCAGGGTCCTCTCCCTGCCCCAGCAGGGACCTTCACTTTGACCATTATCAATGCAGCTGTGTCTTCTCCCAGGTGATCCTATTTGTCTCTGAGCAGCCACACCCTCCAACCCAACTCACCCATCTTTCCTATGAACCCCAAGAAGTTGACAGGGGAACTCAGTCCGAGGATCTCTGGCATTCTGTTCTCTCCCTCAGAAAGAACGGAAGGAAGCTTCCAGGATTTGTTCTTCAGCTTCCATGCTCCTGCCTCAGTTTCCCAGCCAGTGTTCCCCAAACCCCCATCCAGGCTATGGTGAGGCTGGGTTAGCAGCTTGCGTACCACCAGCTAGGGTTTGACGACGCGAACCACAAGGACCTCTGCACCTTCTCCCGTGGCCCCTCCCAGCGCCCACTCCTCCAAATCGTGAGCCCACAGCTGGACCTACCTGCTGCCCCCACGGCGATGCCTACTGGTTCAACTTGCTGGTCTGAAGTCCTCCTTGCGTCTGAGCCTGGGATCAAGATTCCAAAGGCAGACTCCAGGAGGGAGTGGCCAGGTTGGGTGCTGTCTAGCCCGGAGCCCTGTCCCCCTCACCAAGTTGCCACGTCCCCCGGGACGGCGGGGCTCAGGCCAAGCAAGCTGGCATCACCAGGGAGGCCGGCCCGACTCCGGGCACCGGGAGGTCCAGGTCCAGGCCAGGCCCGCCAGCTCTGCAGAGCTCAGCCAGGGTTTTTCCGAGGCTCCCGCCAGCAGGCCGGGCCGGGAAGCACGCAGCCGCCGCGGCTGCCTCCTCGCCCGGGGCCGCCCCCGCTCCTCCAGCCCCGTGCGGGCGCCGCCACCTCCTTCGGGACAGCGCGGGGCTCTCAGCCCGGCGGGCGGGCGGGCACAGCCGGGACGCAGCGGCCCCTGGCGGCCGAGGGCAAGAGGAGGGAAGAGAGGTCATCGTCCCTGCAGGTTCCGTTCGACTGGACATCTCAGCTGGGCCAGGCTCTGGAAACATTAACCGTCTCATGGCCCCCAGTCTTGTCGCTCAGAGAAAGTGCTAAGGAAGAGGGCTGGCAGTATGGAATGATTGCCCAGTCCCTCCAGGCACAGCAGATACAGGACGTTCCCATTATGTCACTAATGTCTGTTTGTTTGACAGAAGGGAGTAATACGTATCTGTACTCCCAGGAGAGGTGACCTAAGAGCAGGAGGACTAGGGAAATTAGGAGGGCTGCCATAGCTGGCTGGTGAATGGTCCCCATGGATATAGGTGTGAATCCACCTAGAGAATAAAACTCTGAGACTTAGTATCTTCATCAGAAAAATTGTAATAAAATTAATTACAATCATATAATTCTTTCTTTCTTTCTTTCTTTTTTTTGAGACAGAGCCTCAAGCTGTCCCCCTGGGTAGAGTGCTGTGGCATCACAGCTCACAGCAACCTCCAACTCCTGGGTTCAATCAAGTCTCCTGCCTCTGCCTCCCAAGTAGCTGGGACTACAGGCACCCTCCACGAGGCCCAGCTATCTTTTAGTTGCAGCTGTCATTGTTGTTTGGCAGGCCTGGGCTGGATTTGAACCTGCCACCTTAGGTGTATGTGACTGGCGCCTTAGCCACTTGAGCCACAGGCCCTGAGCCTACAATCATAATTCTTTACAAAGTTCTATTTGGGATGTGAAAGCATCAATAAATAGGAGGGAAAAGTGTTCTGTGAATTTGTCTCTAAACAAAGGGACACTCCTCTTGGAGGTTGGGGAGAGATAAGGGAGAGGAAGCTCAGTCCCAGGCCTTGAGCCACTGAGTAGTCTCAGCTCTCAGCAGAGAAAAGCATCCCACAAATCTGTCTCTCTCACCCCACCCCCCGTCCCTCGCACTTGCTGGGGCTTCAGGGATGAGTAGAGGTGATGACCTCCTCACCAGGTTCTGGGGCAGTCTGAGCATGAAGGAGGTGTGATGGTGCCAGGAATAGGAGGTGAGAGGTTCAGGGAGAGGAGAGCCTTAGGGTTTGGATATGGCTAAGGGCTATTATGGAGTCCAGGGGAGGCATTGACTTCCCTGATGACTTTCTGGTACTAGAGCTGGGGGCGCTCTGGGCCCTGCCTGGCTCTATAGCCCACTTGCAGCTGTACCTGGGTGGGTGCCACAAAGAACAGGGCATAGGGAGCTGGGTAACATGGAGAAGTGGTAAGTAAACTGTCCCAGAAACACTGAATAATAAAAATTAACCAGGATTATATTTTTTCTTCAGCCTTTGGCTTGGCCCCGTGGTTATGCCATTTATCTGAGAGCTGGGTCCAGTTTTCCTCAAACAGGAGGGAAAACCCATAACAGCAGCCCATTTTTTATTCCTGTCTGCTTTTGCTGCTCTATGTGCCTTTGGTTCTGATTTTTTTTTCTCTTTTGTGACTTTTTATCTGGTTGTCTCTATCCAAAGCACAGACATAGTAGGCATAACAATTCTAAAACCCTGAATGGGCTGGATGCAGTGGCTCACTCTTGTAATCCTAACACTCTGGGAGGCCAAGGCGGGTGGATCACCTGGGCTCACAGGTTCAAGACCAGACTAAGCCAGAGCAGACCCCATCTCTAAAAATAGCCAGGCATTGTTATAGGTGGGTGCCTATAGTCTCAGCTATTTGGGAGGTTGAGGCAAGGGAATCTCTTGAGCCCAGGAGTTTGAGGTTGCTGTGACACCATGGCACTGTACTGAGGTTGGCAAAGTGAGATTGTCTCCAAAATAAATAAATAAATAAATACCTGAATGACCATTGTGGGATTTTTATTTGGAAGCTGCCAAGAAAGCCACACCTTCCGGGGGAACAGTTTAGCCCTGGGAGCAGAGGGAGGGAAGGTCAGGAAGCATCTGGCAGACAGAACCTAGAGGTGGAGTCCCAACCATGAACTGGGTGCTCATAGTCCTTGCTGGCAACCCCAACTTGCATTAGGCCCTCAAGGGCCTTGTCCCCATTTGAACTGTGTATGTGGGTAATGTCTCTGGAGACCTAGTGATCAACTCCCTTATTAGGAGGTTTAAGGACGGAGGTCTTCTGGCATCAGGTCGGCACCACCAATTCTGATCTTCCACCAGTTGGGCTACTCCGGTGCTTAGGCAAGTGTTAAGCCTGGCCTCTGTCTCCCCCTGGCGGCAGCCCCAGAACTTGCTCAGCATTTCCGGACTGCTCTCAGCCTGGCCCTAAGAGGAAGATGGAAGAGGAGGAACCCCCAATTATCTCTCAGATACTCATCTTCTAATCTTTCCTCCGTGATCCGGAGAAATTAGCTTGGTGATTAGAATAAGACCAGGTTTGGACGTCAGGGGGCTGACATGAGTGGGAATCTCTCAGTTACTGCGTGACTTTGGGGGGCAAGTCATATAAGACAGGGGCGTCCAGTTCTGCCTCATCAGTAAAACTAATAAAATAAAACCCACTTTGGAGAGTTGGTGTGAGGTATAAGAGACCTAATGTATGGAACATGCTTTGTAGAAAGCCTAGTATGCAGTGAATCCCCAGTAAATGGTCGTTACTTATTATGTCATGTTATCATCCTTACTGACGAGTCTGGTCATGAGCTCGAAATGTGGGGGGAAACTGGATTATGAGAAAGGAAGTAATGTGGGAATGGCAACTGCTCTCCTAGATCTAGAAGTGGTCTTCATGGGGGGACCGGCGCCGTCAGGAGCCTAGAAATTTACTCTAGCCCCCTGATTCAGGATGGTCGGCTGCAGCCTGCGTCGTTACCACCCCACCTCACCGGGCACCAACTAGCTCGCTGTCTCATTCCAGCAGCCGCAGCCAGAGGTGATGTCACACCTGGTGCTTCACACCTAGTGGCTCTGAAGCGACTGTTTTCACTCTGAGGTTATCACCTCCTTGGGCTGGCTGCACTGAACCGAGAGCGAGGAGGCCGCACCCTAGCTCCCCGTCACAATGGAAAAGTTCTAGCTTACGGCTAATCTACAGCACGACAGAAATAGGGTTTTCTTCTCTCAGCCCCCTCCCACAACAGACTAAGAAACTGAGGCACGGCCAAGCCGGAATGGGGCGGGGCAGAAGTCAGGCGGTTCCCAGGATGGCCCCGTGCAAGGGGAAGTTTTGCCCCGGACCTGCCCAGCCGGACCGGTGGCCCCGAGCCAATGGCCTGAAAGAGCCGGCGGGAGCGAGCACCGCCCACCCCGAGCCCTAGGGGCGGGGCCTGCTGGGGGCGGGGCCACGGTCGAGGGCGGGGCAGCGAGGCAGCATGCTAAACCGGGTGCGCTCGGCCGTGGCGCACCTGGTGAGCTCCGGGGGCGCTCCGCCTACGCGCCCCAAATCCCCGGACCTGCCCAACTCTACCTC